GTGTGTGTGGTAGAAGTATCGGTTTTTGTACTCTGTATCGGCAAGTACTCAGATCCAAGTATCGGTACCGTATCAGTTTGAAAAAATTGGTATCGTTGCATCCCTATTAAGGTGTGAAACAGCTGTGTACTGCCTTTTGTTCCTGGAGAAGATATTTAACTGAGACCCATGCTGGGCTCAGGGCTCTGCTGACCGTCTGCCCCACGATCGTGCAGGCTCTCCACCAAGATTGGTTTTCTGTTCTTTGTTTGTGGTTAAAGATTGTTAGCCACTCACTGCTTGTCTGCAGGCTTTATTATAATGGAAAACTTCCACAACACTTCACTCAGACATGGAGAAAGATAAGACAAACAGGACAGGAGAGGAAGAAGAGAGCTTAGATTTAAAGGCAAACTAACTGTGTTATTTAATAGTTGCATAACAATCCTCTGCAGGTTAGTGAAGGATAACCAGGTTTGTGGTACTGCGATGGGTTTAAAATAAAGAACAGTGTGTGGCTGGTGCACAGTGACTGTGGTTATGGTCAGAGTTAGGTTACATTAAGTGTAGCAGAGATTCATATGGATTTTTAGTTGATGCTGCTCAGATGAATTCACTGAATTCCACCTTTATACCATCTAGAAAACAGAGAGCATAAACGGCGTACTGTCAGTGTAGAGCAGGGGTAGGCAACTCCAGGACTTAGGTGCCGGTGTCCTGCAGGTTTTAGACGTGTCCTTGATCCAACACAAAGAGGATGTGTAGATACCTAGAGGATGGACTTCAGCCAGGACAAGTCATGAAACATCTGCTGACATCTGGTTGAATTGAGTTGTGTACATCCACAAAGAGCAGCAGGTCAGCTGATCACAGCCTGTACACTAAGAAAATCTACTGAAGCTCTCAATAGAAATGATTGTGAGTGTGATTCTTTTCCCCACACTGAGCCATTACAACTGATTTTAGGATTACACCTCTGCTGAATCAACTTTAACTCCTGACTTAGGGGTGGGCGATATAAACGATATACGATAGAAACGATATAAATTTGGCCAACAATAGAGATTTTGACTATATCGCTCTATCACGATAGCGCATGTTGATGATGTCATCAAGCTGCGCCTGTTTTGGTCGAAAGCATCGCAGCGGCTACAACCATTATCATCTGCAAAATATGCCGACAGTCATAGCAAAGAGATGAAGCACTTTTGAAATATGAAGAAAGCCAAAAACTGTGCTTCCTCCACTTCCGTAACATTGATTCATTAATGACTTTTATCGAGTGGAAAAAAAGTTGGCGTTCATCCTCCAGCTTCACTGTGCTAATGTTATGCTAACATAGCTGTGTCGCTAGCAATCACGTAGCACAACATTGTATACCAGGTAGTCCAACTTCAGTAACCCTGCAAACGCCACTGCTGTTTAGTTTTGTCTTCATTTATGTCGGAAGTGGTAGCAGAGCTGTACGTTTTAATT